CACACAATGAACTATGTATCAAATATTACAATGTAATAGTACGGTAGCGAGCGAATATATTTTTTGAATTGTAGACGAACGTGGATAAATAAAACACACGTACAATGATTTTCGAGACGAATTTAATGTCGTATCGGCGAGTCTTCCTCATGCTTCCTTTGTGACTGGACAATACAACGAATCAAATCAGATTTACTTTACAAATAGAATTTCAAGTAAACGATATTTGAAAGCAGATTTTTTCGTTAAAATCTTATAGTTTTAACTTCGAATTCTAGACAAGCACGGGCGAGCACCCATCACTTAAAACACAAGTCTAGCCGTTCGTGTGTTACATTATCATGCGTGGCCTAATCGGTAGTGCCTTTGATTTCCAATCCAGCGGGCCCGGGTTCAGATCCCAGGTGACCCATTTCTTTGATTTCTTTATTTGTCAAAAAATAAATTAATTCAATCAGATATAGCACAGGGAAACCAGTAAAGAAAAATTAGGTATGATAAATAATAATTAAGCAGAATACATTAATATTATTGAATGAATAACTGCTGACAAAGACATCGCAGGCTCGAGTTTACAGGAAAGTGATCGAGCGAGCGAGCGATCGAGCGAGTGACAGCTTGTGCCCTCCCAATAACTCTACGATTGCTACGCAATCTCCGAGTTAAAAATGTCTAATCCCCACCCTTTGCCCAGTCTCCCCCAGGGGGCTTAACATTGATGCTAGTCTCCTCGCAGCCTTTGCCCGGTCTCCCCCAGGGGGCTTAACATTGATGCTAGTCTCCTCGCAGCCTTTGCCCGGTCTCCCCCAGGGGGCTTAACATTGATGCTAGTCTCCTCGCAGCCKTTSYYCRGTCTCCCCCAGGGGGCTTAACATTGATGCTAGTCTCCTCGCAGCCGTTCTTAGTGGCGGGCTACCTGTCCCCCGCCCCACAAATGGCTGCTTCAATCCGAGCTGTAATCGTTTCTCCAATCACAGTTCGGCTTTCATTTTCTTGCAGCAGTTCCCGCCAAAATTATTGACCAATAGGAACTCGCGTATTATAAGTGCGATCATACTGAACATGGCGGGTGACATCGCGGATAGTTTTGTGTTTGCTGCTCAAAAATTCAAGATATTGTGCTTAAATTGCCCCCAGAAGCTTCCCATTACAAAACTTATAGATGGAAATTGAGATGTGTTTGTTAATTTACATACTAGTTTCGATAAATCCTTGATTTTTTTAAGCTTTACTTAAAGTTCTCGATGATTCAGCGAAACGTCCAGGATACTTCGCAGCTCTTCGTTTTACATGTGGCACTCTGACTTCCGTCATATTCCCTTGTAACTATTGCTCGTGGTCGCTTCTCTTGCTGAACAAAAGACTGATCAAGCTCTTTCCGTGTCTTCTAGTTTCTTTGAAGCGCGATCGTATTATTCAAGCTTTGAAAACATTGTCTACAGACAAACAAATCTGCATCGGCAGGATACGTGGTTACGTAAACTTGCAAAGAATCTTTTTATAATTTTAAATGATATAATTTTATTTTTATCTGTACTTGTTTTCCCAAACTAGATGTAAAACTTATCTTTGC